AGAGAGAGAGAGAGAGAGAGAGAGAGAGAGAGAGAGAGAGAGAGAGAGAGAGAGAGAGAGAGAGAGAGAGAGAGAGAGAGAGGCTAACATGTGACTGCTGGCAACATCATCCCCAGCAAACAGCCATTTCGCTAAAATGGTCATTCTATATTTTTTTTAATGAAATTGAAACCGACTTATTTGGTCTAAGGGGATCAGGTGTTTTCAGAAAGCCGGACCTCAGGAGCTAAAAATGTGAGATTTTTGGGCCAAATAAGTCGGTTTCAATTTCATTCGAATTTCGGAAAATATAAAATGCCAATTTTAACGTAATGGCTGTTTTCTGGTGGGTGTTGCGCAAGCCCGACGGAACACACACATTGTAAATCAGGTACGAGGAATAAATGGTTCATCATGTATACCAACAACGGGAGCGTGCTGATTTGCAGTACAACAGCGAAACGAAAATACGAAAGATAGTTTTAAGGACGTATCGAGAATTCAAACCTGCTGAACAACAGGGTTGGCAGCAAACATCTTGTTGTAGCTTTCCTCCCGATTGATGAGTTCGAGCCGAATTTGTCGAGTATCCTCTGACGAAAGGAAAAAGGCACACAGGCAGGCAGGCAGGCAGGCAGGCAGGTCAGACAGCAGAGGGAGGAGAGCAGAGCAGATGATGAGCTGTGGAGGTCGCCTTACTTTTTTCCAAGTTAGTTTTTTCATCGTCTGTTTCACCACTAGGACAATGAAAATAAGTAGGGGCAAGTATGTCGATGTCACTTCTGGGTTTCGAGTGCAAAAAAAAAAACACGCGCCCACAGAGAAAACAGCTGCCGAGTTCGGAAACACAATGAAAGTACCGCGGACGAGACATAGGCAGAGGTTGGTCGTGGTGTCAGATGGGACAAGGGGAAAAAAAAAAGGAAAAAAAAAAAAAGAAAAAAAAGAAGAAGAAAAAAAAAAAAAAAAGAAAAATGGCGGAGGGGTCATATCAGAAGAGAGAGAGAGAGAGAGAGAGAGAGAGAGAGAGAGAGAGAGAGAGAGAGAACGTGAACAGGACACGACAGGCGAGTCTG